ATACTTTGGCTGCTCTGGCACACTAAAAACAAGTCAATTAAACAGAGAAACGTAATTCCAGAATTTACCATAGTGGAGCCCCCAGTAGACTTAATCCAAGTCGTGGGGTTTAGTCCAGAAAGACTTTCTGCCACCTGATCTAATGCCTCAGGTCCAGGAACAATGGATAAATGAGCTTGAGAGGCTTCAAAAATTTGTTTCTTTAGTTTGGTTTTGTCCAAGGATAAATTATCTTTCCTACCCAGAAGGTGTCCTTTGACCATTTCCCATGAATGATCAGTCTCATTGTAGGAATATGGTGTGATACAGAAATCAGAAGTATTCCAATTGCACTGCATTTGCATGCAATGTTCGAGATTCATAAGCCAATCCCCAAGCCAAATAACAGACTGTCTCAAATCATTAATGTGATTAGCCAATTTCTCTGCTGCGGCTCCAGCCAGTCCCTCCGTTCGGGGTCTCTGACTTCCCACAACATAGGGCCAGGCGCAGTGGCTCACATCTGTAATCCCAGCACTTTGGGAGGCTGAGGTGGGCAGATCACTTTAGGCCAGGAGTTTAAGACCAGCCTCATCATCATGGGAAATGCCATCTCTACTAAAAATACAAAAATTAGCGGGGCATGGTGGCAGGTGCCTTGGTCCCAGCTACTTGGGAGGCTGAGGTGGGAGGATCGCTTTAGCCTGGGAGGCAGAGGTTGCAGTGGGCTAAGATCACACGACTGCACTTCAGCCTGGGGTGACCAAGTGGAACCCTGTCTCAAGAAAAAAAATTGTATCTAGTTGACATGTAGATTCAATTTACATTTCAATAATGAAATCAGTGTTGTCTTTTTTCTTCTGTCATTTTCAAGTACCAGGATTTCCTGCCTAAACAATCTGCAATGTGTGTCTGTTTCTCTGCCCATCTCACTGTGCTCTTAGATGCAGAGTTACAAATATATTCTAGTTTTATTTCTGGTTCCAAAGAAGACAGATTTTACAGGTGTAATTCAGTTTTGTGTTTTATATTAAAATGCATCTATTTAAAAAATAAATTTTAAAAATGCATCGCATCTAGTTTCGATATTAGCTACATCTAAATTTTTCCATTTATTCTCTTTTTTGTTTTATGTTCTTATCCATATTTCATATAACTTATAACTGTATCTTGAGCTCTTTTGCTTTTGTCTTAAGACTGAAGCTCAAATAAATACATTTGCATTTGTACACACACAAATGCACACTCAAACACACAACAAGTGGCTCAGGATAAAAGTCAATAAATGATCAGTATGAAAAACATGAGTCAGGTCATTATAAAAAAAATTTTAATCCTACCAGAGAATTCTAATATACAGCTTTCTATAGAAGTAGGGGAAATAAAGGCCAGAAACTAAAACAAACTATTACTATTACTACTATTTTAAAGAATACGGCTCTTTTTCTATAAACTTGGTTTTGTAATGGACTACCTCAACTCAGAAAGGCTGAAGAAAAAGTTGTCTGTATCTCTGTTCCTGTTTTTCTATGAAGATGGATGATGAGGTACCCCAAAATTAATATTCTCAGATGAACCAAGCCTAGAAAAATGCTTAGACTTGAGAAAGGCTAGGACGCCAAGTGAGGTATAGTAGTTTCTGGGGCATGAGAGGAATAATGTCCCTATGATCTGTGAGGCAAACAGCCAAGGCAAAATTTAGCAAGTAGTTTTTAAATAATCATGCCCAATAGAGATTATTCCATTCACATAGTGTGGAGATTCAACACACAATACACGTATGTGCAAAACTTCCTAGATCACAGAAGTCTTATCTTGCTTTTGTGATCTATGCCCTACCAGAATAATTTCAGAAATAAGCTCAATATAATAACCAGCATGTCTCTTCAAGGATTTGAAAGTTTTGATTTGGTTTTTAGTGTTTTTTTTTTGAGACGGAGTCTTGCTCTGTCGCCCAGGCTGGAGTGCAGTGGCGTGATCTCCACTCACTGCAAGCTCCGCTTCCTGGGTTCACACCATTCTCCTGCCTCAGCCTCCCGTGTAGCTGGGACTACAGGCGCCCGCCACCACGCCCGGCTCATTTTTTTTAAATGTATTTTTAGTAGAGACAGGGTTTCACCGTGTTAGCCAGGATGGTCTCGATCTCCTGACCTCGTGATCCGCCCGTCTCGGCCTCCCAAAGTGCTGGGATTACAGGCGTGAGCCACCGCACCCGGCCTTTAGTGCTTTTTAATTTTAATTGAAATAGATTAGATTTCCTAGAGGGGCCATCCCCACAAAAACATACAAGACATTTATAGCAGTTTGACCCACAACTTCCCATGAAGTTGAGCAGAAAGTTGGAGTTTAATCACATAGAAAATTTGACCTTCTCTCTTCATCAGGACCAAATTGAGTATATCCAAAATAAATGTTTTTCATTCATCTTAATTTAAATGTTTGTAGCATGATTAATAATTTGACAAGTAAACAAAAATAGCTTTTTTTTTTTTAGGAAATTATTCTGATGCTCTCTCTTACCACATGAAATTCCTTACTCTGCAGCAAGCAACTTCTTTTTAACAATGATTCAGAAAGGGCTACTATTGCTTCAGAGACTGAAGCTTCTGCAGTACAACTCAACATTAGAAATATTCCAGAAACTGCCATCACGTGAGCAGTAAAGGAGCCCTGGGTTGCACCAATGGTCTGAGGTCAGACTGAATGAATCAGCCTTAGAAGAATGAGGAGCCCAAGTACCCATGATGAAGGGCAGTCAAATTAAACACCCTCTCTCCTTGTCTCTTCTCCGCCAGGCTCCTGCTTACACCATTTTAGTTCTGACGCCATAACTCCTGAGAGGGTAGATGATTATACATTTTCTATAGGAGGGAAAATCATCTTTTAAGATAACGTCTCATGTGGAGATGAGAGCACCATTAAGAGGAACTATTTTCAATACCTCTGTATCAAAGTCTAAGAATCCCAGCACCTGTCAAATGTGAAATAGCAAATACTCAAAGGCTGTTTGGGCATTGCAGGAAGAAGGTGACGACACAAAGAAAGTACAGGAAATAATTGAATATTTTGACGTTGTGAAAATATATAAACAACGTCTTTTCTCAAAAGTACTATTGCTGGCAATTCCATAAAACAGCAAACAAATTTTATACTTCACTGAAGACAATGGTCAATCAGCCAATAGGTTAAAATTTGTTTCACTTTTAAACCCATGGTCGAATTGTTTTCATTGGTATTTTACAGAATGAGTCAAGGAGATAAATGTATTTATTTATCTGTAATTTTTACTGTCAACTCTTTCCAAAAAGGATGCAATTAAATCCTTATAAACCATACAGTGAACATAGTTTTTTTATTAATTGGAAAGAGAAATAGTGAACAGCGTATGTAAGACAGAAAGAAAGCTAATTTTACCAAGCTTCTTGGGTAAGATGGTTATTACCCCTAAACATTAAACTTAACTCTAGGTTCTAAGGAAAGCTTAGAAACATGATGGATTATATAGTTTAACTTTTTTTTTTTTTTTTTGAGACAGAGTCTCACTCTGTTGCCCAGGCTGGAGTGCAGTGGTAGGATCTTGGCTGACTGCAACCTCCGCCTCCTGAATTCCAGCAATTCTCCTGCCTCAGCCTCCCAAGTAGCTGGGATTACAGGTGCATGCCTCCACGCCGGGCTAATTTTTATATTTTTAGCAGAGACAGGGTTTCACCATGTTGGCCAGGCTGGTCTCAAACTCCTGACCTCGGGTGATCCGCCTGCCTTGGCCTCCCAAAGTGCTGTAATTACAGGCGTGAGCCACTGCACCCAGCTCAGTTTAACTCTTTTCATAAAATTAATCATCACTTATTCACAACAATGCATTGTGGTACAATTACTATTTTTGCCATGCTGAGTTGGATTCCTTAATGTGTGTAGATAACTATGTATCCCGATTTCTACAGATATTTCCTACAAACGGAAAGAGGAATAGTTGTCAACTATGCCCATTTTGAACAAGTCTGTTTTAAAGATGAAAACATAGTATGTGGCATGTTTTCAGTATTCATTTTTATTAGGGATTTTATCAGAAACTACCTGATATGAACTTAAGTGAAAATTGTTGAAAGAAGGAAGATACATGAAAAGATATGATTTTGTTCTATGTGCTCGATTAAGTTTTGGATTGTTAGGACCAGCATGTGGCAGTGCCCTCTCCCTCTATTTTAAGCTTGTTTTTATCACCTTTAAAAAATTGATTTCATATGCTAAAATCATAATTTTTAAAAAGGGAATTAAGCTATCATTTACTTTTAATTATCTTAATCATTTGAATCACAACAGGGTCACTCAAATCATTATATTTTGTGATAATAGAAAGAGATCAATACATTGGGTAAAAAAGGCTTCCATGATACATGGTTCATTCAATTAACAAACATTTTGAGCTCTTCACACAAAATATTTGCTAGTACTGGGGCACAAAGATAGAAATCTGCCCCATCTCAGTGGAGAAACACTCACAAAAATTTATAGTGGAACCCAATTCATAATGTAAGTATATACATTATTTTTAAATTTAGGAATAATGAAAGCTTATTAATTGATTTTTAACCACATAAAGCAGGTAAATAAAACAATCATTTCTTATACGAAGCGAAGATATTTACCTTTGAAATCAAAATGTATGTCAATATCCTCTCTCTCTCCCCTACTAAGGCTGTGCAATAGAAATCCCTAAGGGTGACTGAGTTTTGAACCTTGTCAAGCCCTGACCATTTGATATATGTTCACTTGCCTTCTCTGTGCCTTAGTATCTTCAGCTGCCCAGTAAGGAATGTTCTTAGAATCATTCGTACAATTCCAATGAAATTATTTGATTTTGAGCTCCTTGAAGAAAATTATACAGTCAGGCAGAAGTTTGTTATTGTTATTGTTGGCTATTAACTAATTTAAAATCAATTACAATTATCTTAATATCACGCCACCCGTAAGTGGCAGTGGGCAATATTTTCAAAGTTCAAATATTGTTTTCTTTATTACAGGTTTCTTTTCTCCATGGAAAACTCCAAAGCCTGTAAGTTGGAATTATTATGCTTCTTTCTTTATTTCTACTTACTATTGCAATTTCATTAAATAAAAGTTGAATTTGGTGACCTCAAAATCTCTTTCAACTCTAGAAGTCTGTGATGTCAAAAAAATAAATCCTCTGTATCCCTTTGTCTTGTGTCTGTCCCACAAGTACAAGAGTCACTCATCTGACCTTCCGATAAAAACAATTCTGCCCTTTTAAAATATATACTTGCAAAATGAACATTAACACTATGCAGCCTAATGTAATGAAACTACTTTAGAAACCTTTTGTTTTTCTCCTGTCCACAATACTATGTAGTCTTCATAACATGGAATTTTTAGAAATAATATAAACTATAAGTCCAGAAGTCTTGACCTGCAAATTAAATCTAGTCCACAAAAAATTTAACTCTGTATATATTTACATTTACATTTTAATGTCTACAGAGCTACATATGTGTGTGTGTCATGTGTATCTATGTTAGCTTTGTATATATGTGTATATATAAAATATGTATGTGTATATATACATATAATGTGTGTGTATATGTTTTTGTGTGTACATATATGTGTGTATATATACGTACACACATGTATTTAAGCTCTGTAAACTGTGTATATATTCTGCCACACCTGACAATCACTCAAAATGGTGCTTCTGAGTCTTCTTCAGATACTGGAGATCTCTACCATCATCTGACCACTCTAGGCCTACTTCCCTATGAAACATGGTAAAATGTCTGCGCCAATATAGGAAGCTGGTGGGTTTTAACAATCTTTTTGCAGAGCTAGGCTAGCCAAGTTGGCTTAGCAGTTAGAGATGGTCTTTACTTGCTGATAGATTGAAACTATTAATTGCCCAAGTCCCAAGAGCTGGGACTGGTTTTCTGGGATCCCATTTTATGTGTTAGAATACTCTACCCTAACTGCGATATGTGAAACCCATGACCGGAAGAGGCTGCAGCAAAGCAGAAGACATATTCCTGAGCAGGACTTCATTTAGGATTTGACTCATCTGGTCCACAAAGAACATTAGATGGGAAAACCAGTCCTATTTAAGCTTAGCAAATCACTTAAGGATGCATGTGATTTTGAAAGAAGATACTTATAAATGTTCAAAATGAATTTGGTTTATCTTCAACGATGTCTAAATAGTTTCTTCCTTTCACCACCAAACTTAAATCTGTACTCTGTGGTTATACACATCTTTATCTAATTTAACAAGGAACCTTGCGGACCCTCATCATGGTGCTACAATTATGCAATCTAATGATTTCCTTATACGTCCCACATTTATACCAAATTATGTCATTTGGTATAATTGCAGCATTTTGCTGTCATTATTGTAATTACATTCATAGCAATAATTCCAAAAAAGTTTTATAGAACTCAATGTACATTAGTCCTGAATCCATGATTCTACAAAAGCTAAGCTTGGACTTCCAGGGCATAGACAAAGGAAGGTAGAAGGCTAAAGATTTAATGTCTTCCATGTATCTACCGGAAACTCTTGAGACTATAATGAGAGGAAGTGTGGCATTAATAACTTGTTTAGGGTGCTGGCACTAAAGGCATTCTGCCTGACTCAAGTTTTGCTTCTTTCCCTAACTAGATGACTTGAGCTAGCTATGTAAGAGCTATCAGAGTTCAAGTTCTATTATCTGTAAAGTGAGATAA